ATTGGACTTTCTCCCACATCTCTGCCTAGGAACTGCCAGCTGAGTTATTGCTGTCAGAGAATTACACAGTGTGTCTGGCCTTTGGGGTTATCTGATCAGCACAAGCATTGGAGAGTAAGTTTACCAACCCCCCATCCAAGGAATTATAAACTCAGAGTCATAGGCTTGTAATAACCTAAAAGTTTATCTTTTTCAACTTACACCCAATGTCTCTGCCACTTAAGCAGCACATTTAGGCTCCTATAATTAAAATAATAACAATAATAATAGAACAGAAGTAAATTTAAGTGTTCACTATGCATTAGAGGTAATATTTTATGTATAATCTAATTTAATGTTCTTAATCTCACTGAGATGGAGATTATTTTACAGATGACAAAACTTAAACTAAGAGAGGTCAGGTGGTTTGGCCAAGTTCACATGGAAATGGCAAAGCCAAGATTCAAACCCAGGTCTGTCTACAGAGATCATGACTCTAAAAACCATATTTTTTCACAACTTAAATATCTAGGATAACATCAACCTTTAATATTTCATCATATTGTTTCTAAAAATTGACCCATATTTGTCGCAAGGTCTACATTATGTTGCATTCAGAAAATTTGGTTACCATGCTTCATATTTCTTTTTCCCCCTTCTTTGCCCAGCAATAGTGTTACTGGAGAAGGCAGGGTTTTTGTCTTTGCGCAAGAAAAAATTCAGACATGAGAGAGTAGTGGAAAGCAAAATAGCAAGGTTTATTAGGGTAGGGACATTCATAAGAACAGGTGGGCACCTCTCCAGACAGAGCCTGAGAGAGAGTGCCCAGTTGCTCAGACTGGGGGATAGTGAGGTTACATGGTTGAGTGGAGAGATTACACCTGGGCAGGCCAGGCGGGCAACTCAGCAGAGAGGCAGAGGGCTGAGCTCGCAGTCCGGTTGAGGTCGGGGGCTTTTAAGGGGATGGGCCTTGCCTTCCTGCCTCTTCTCCTCCTGGAACAAAGGACATTTTGGATGTAAATATGAAAAATTCCTTTCTGAGTTTTCCCCCTGAAGTTATCAGACGGGGGAAGCCTGGCTAGCATCGCCCCACCTTAGAGGATCCTTTGAGGAAGGATGGTTAATGGGGTAGAAGGGGCAAGGAATTTGAAGTGCAGATACTGGATTGCACCTGGAAGGTTATTGGGATAACTTTGAGATGCAGATGCTGGACCTAGATGTCAACTCCTTAGGCCTTTGTCACACATGTAAGCTCATTTCTGACTTCCTACCTAACAACAGCAACCAATATATTTTATTTTTAATATTAATCATTCATTCTGTAGTGAGAAAAATTATTGGTAATCAAATCATAAAATTCAAAGACAAAATAAAAATGCCTCTTGAAGGCAGCAGGGTAAATTTGGAGCCAAAGATAGACCCATCAGAACGATAAATAAGAATACCCCCAAAGTTTCATCAAGTTCACTTTTAAATAAACTAAATATCTCCTGGTTAAAATACATCTCTCCTGTTCACTGAATACCATAACAGAGCAGCAAAATTTGTCTTTCTGACTTGTTTAAAGTTATTTGTCTTCAGAGCTCATCTCCCCTTCTACCTGCTGGGTGTGACCTCTTCCAGGGAAGAGACCAGGTCTTTCATTTATCTCTGTTTCCTTTAAAGTGTCTATATATTTATCTTTCCAACATTTACTGAGAACACTTTCTAGCTTTAATATTATACTGAGTACTGGATACACATAGAAAAAATCTATGTCTCAATCTAGTGGGGAAACAGAAATTGAAACCACTCACCATAATTGAATAAAAAGTGTTCTTATAAAAATATGCCCAGTATGTTGTGAGAATATAGCAGATAGCACACTGCCATCCACACTGGTTGTGCTCGATATTCACTTGATAAATTTAATTTACTCAAAGAGAAGTGCTCAGCCCACTATAGGGGAACCATAACTTATGAGCTGGATCAAGGCCATATCAGGTATCTGAAACCAACTGTCTCTCAGTTCAAGTTTCTCCACATCTCTCCAGTAAGAGCAGCAAATTAAGACGGCAAGTTAAAAACCAGCATACAGAGTACTCTCTGTATAAAAATGCAAGACACTATTCCTTATCCATAAACATTTTCAACCATAACATTTCATTCTGTAAATGTAATCTCACAGGGGAATGTTATATGATTGCATTTGAGTCGGTTGGAACTCCACTGTGGTAGAAGTGAGAAAACCCAAACTTTCCCAAACTTTCCTATTCAGCACTAAAGTTTTAGAGTTATACAAGGTGCAAGTGGCAGATGCTTACCATGAGTAGATGAAGAGATAAGCTCTGAGGGATATAGAGGTATAAGCCTCTGAAAACATGGAATAGACAGATAATAGACAGTAGAGAACAGACAATAAATAACTGATGTTGCCAGCAGAGGTAAAGAGTAAGCAGGACTGGGACAGGTGCTGTGGCGCAGTGGATTAACGCCCTGACCTGAAGCGCCGGCACCCCATATGGGTTCCAGTTTGAGACCTGGCTGCTCCACTTCTGATCCAGCTCTCTCTTGTGGTCTGGGAAAGCAGTAGAAGATGGCCCAAGTCCTTGGACCCCTGCACCCACATGGGAGACCTGAAGGAGGGTCCTGGCTCCTGGCTTTGGATTGGCACAGCTCTGACCATTATGGCAAATTGGGGAGTGAGCCATGGGATGGAAGACTTCTCTCTCTGCCTCTCTTCTTTCTGTGTAACTTTGCCTTTCAAATAAATAAATAAATCATTGAAAAAAAAGAGTAAGCAGGACTATGCAATCAATATGCAGTTGATGAAAACCAGTACTGTGTTCGGGATGGCTACTAGGAAAAATATATGGGTGATGTACCAGGGGGAATGGAAAAGATCTGGCATCATGCAGGAAAAAAGGGGAGCAGTTTATGCATGACATCCTCTGATCTCCTTTTTCTGTCTCATTCTGTACCCCCTCTGTACTAATGTTTCTTTCTTCACCATCATCTTTCTTTCCGATTTTTAGTAACTATCAAATATTTATTAATGTCCATTGTGGACAAAGCATTGTAGCAGGTAAGTAGTATGTACTAAAATGAAGGAGAGAGTCTCAACATATAGTGAGAGAAACTGCAAGATAGTATTAACTCTGATTGTGAAAAAGGGAATAGTGGAGGAAACTGAGCAAAGACAAATAACGGTTAGAATTTCAATGGACAAAATAAGGATGGGTAGCCCCATTGATCAGAATTACAAAAGCAAAGCTCTCGTGTGGTGTGTCTGTGGAGTGGTAGGAATGGAATATGTAGGGAGACCAACTCATCTTAGTATGCCTGAGATTTCCCAGGTTTTAACAGTAGAGGTCCTGCAGCCTGCAAACCTCTCAGTCCTGAGCAGACAGGAATGATGGATCACTCTAAATATGTATGAGACTGTGGAGCTATACATCATACAGAGCAAAGAAATGAAGGAGAAACCAAGGGTCAGTGAAGGTGCCCTACAAAAACTTAGGTTGGTGGCAGATCATAAAGAATACTGAATACCAGCCTAAAAAGTTACGACTTAATATTATTTTAAAGAAGTATTTATTTACTTGAAAGGCAGGAGTTAGGAGGGAGGGAGGGAGGGAGGGAGATAGAGAGAGAGAGAGAGAGAGAGAGAGAGAGAGAGAGAGAAAGAAAGAAAGAATCTTCCTTCTACTAATTCACTCCTGCAAATGGCCACAATTACCTGGTCTAGGCTAGGTCAAAGCCAGGATCCAGAAACTCCATCTGAGTCTCCTACATGGGTGGCAGGGGCCCAAGCTCTTGATTCATCTTCCTTTGCTTTCTCAGATGCATTAGCAGGGAGCTGGATGGGAAGTGGGGCAGATGGGACTTGAACCAGTGCCCAAATGGGATGCTAGCATCACACAGAACAGCTTCACTCACAGAGCCACAACACTGACTCCTGTAACTTCTCTTTATAGATATTTGAGAATGGAACAGTAGTTTTGAGTAGGGAAGAGATATAATCAAATTATGAGATTATTCTGGTTAAAAAAATAAAAGTCCAAGGCAGATGAAAGTTAAATACTAGTTTGGAGTTAATCACAAAAGTCTATCCAAAAGACAGAAGGCCTTTACAACAGTAGGTTTAATAGGGATGGAGCAGAGGAACCATATTGAATAGAGTGCAGTGATAAAAATCACTGATTCTTGTTGATTTTATAGTGCAAACTGATGAAATCTTTACTTAATATATACTAAATGGATCTTCTGTATATAAAGATAATTGAAAATGAATCTTGATGTGAATGGAATGGGAAAGGGAGCAGGAGATGGGAGGGGTGCAAGTGGGAGGGAAGTTATGGGGGGGGAGCCATTGTAATCCATAAACTGTACTTTGGAAATTTATATTTACTAAATAAAAGTTAAAAAAAGAAATAAACAAATAAATAAAAGAAAAAAATGAAAATCAAACAAGTTAAAAGTTAAGAGATAATATTAATGTACTGAATGTTTCTGTGTATAAAAAAATAGAAGATAGGATAGGATTTTGATTATTTTCATCACAAAGAAATGTTAACTCTTTGAAGATATAGATATGTTTACCTCTATAGAACATAACACAATGTCTACATGTATCAAAACATCATATTACCCCATATATATGTACAATTTATGTACAATATGTACTAGGACTTGGGCCATCTTCCACTGCTTTCCCAGGCCATAGAAGAGAACTGAATCAGAAGTGGAGCAGCCAGGACTAGAACCGGCACCCATATGGGATGCTGGCACTTCAGGCCAGGGTGTTAACCTGCTGCGCCTTCATCTGCTATGCCACTGTGCCAGCCTCCATGTATTTCATATATACAGTTTTAAGCCCACAATGATAATTTCCACCCTCCCTCCTTCCTTTCTTCTTTTTTCTTATAATTTTTTTGTGATAGCGTACTTCCAATTTACTTAATATTATAAAAAGCAATGAAAGGGAAGGAACATTTTCAAGTAGTGAGAGTAGTAACTAATGTTATATGGAATGAATCAAATACTGAGTTAGAGCATTGCATCTGTTCGTTAGTAGCCCATTGAGTCACTTTCTAGTAAGTTCATTTGGAAACAGAAGCTGGAGTTGAGGAATTAACAGGGAGTGTGGAAGCGGAACAAGTTAATGAGAGCAATTATATTTACAATCTTGGAGCAGAGGCAAAGTGGCTTAATCTACTTCCCTTTGGATAAGCATGATTCTCTCTCCACCTCTGCTCATCCTCTTCCTCTACAATTGCCCTGGTTTAGCTCCCTGAGTCACCCTTCCTCCCCAACCTGCCTCTTCTCATGTCCTGCCTTCAGTATGCCCCTGTGTCTCTTCACCCCTTCATTCCCCTCATAGTGATGGCATCATAGATTCTCACAGTTATGCAGATTTGGCCTGCTGTAGCCTTTATTAAGATACAAAATATCCCTGTACTATATTATAGCTGGCCAGACTGAAATTGAATGCAGCCTCAGTGAGGGAATGAACACACTGATTCATGAAGCACCTTGTTCCATCCTAATTGGACAACTCTAGTCACTGACACAGAAAAATCTGTCTTCCTACTCAACTGAACCCAGTCTCCCTTTCACTTTTCCCAGTCCTTGTTCTACCCTCCCCATATCACCAAAAACACTATAATTTTTAAATAAGGTAACACGTCAAGTTTCAGCATTAGTTATTTTCTTTTTTTAAAGATTTATTTTATTTATTTGAAAGAAAAAGTTACAGGGAGAGGTAGAGACAAAGAGAGAGGTCTTCCATCTGCTGGTTCACTCCCCAGATGGCCGCAACGGCCAGAGCTGCACTGATCCAAAGCCAGGAACTTCTTCCTGGTCTCCCACGTGGGTGCAGGGCCCCAAGGACTTGGGCCATCTTCTACTGCTTTCCCAGACCACAACAGAGAGCTGGATAGGAAGTGGAGCAGCCAGGACTAGAACCGGTGCCCACCCATATGGGATATTGGCACTTCTGGCTAGGGCGTTAACCTGCTGATCCACAGTGCTGGCCCCATGCCTTAGTTACTTTCAAGTGGTGCTGAACTATTTTCATATGGACAATTTATGAAAACATGTTAGCAAACCAAATAGTTTTCCTTTAGAATAGGTCCTGAGAGTACCAAAGTTTACATTTAGACACATTTATCTCACTTGCTTTACCCGATTTATATTTAGTGATCACACCTAGATGACTGAAGATGCTGATATTATATCATACCTCTATCTGAATGAAGGTTGAAGTTACAATTGTATCAAATTCTACTCCTTTTACTCAAAGAAAAAATACCTTAGGCCATGGATGCCTAGTCAGCAGTCAGCTACTTGGGACTGCCTCTGAAACAAAAGATTTAGCAGCTGTGAGATGAGTCTCAAGGGTGACTTTAGGCTAGGGACCATGCGCCAGGGACAAGAAATCCACCGGAGATTGCTCACCATTGTTAGGCTTTCATGGGAGAGGACATCCAGAGAGTCCTAAAGAGAATCTGACAGGTGACAGAATAGAGCAATTACTACAAGGAGGCTCCTGTAAGAGCCCATGAAGGGGCAGGGTGGAGAAAAACTGGAGGCCTTGCAAGAGACAATAACCTCATACTCTAAAACCAAAAGCCAATACTGGACGTGCCCAATAGTGAGGCTGTCACTTAAACCAGTCTCAGGGATGAGTAGTCAGGTCCGGAAGTGTCTCAAGAAGGCATCATGTGGATTAATCCATATGCATTCAATAGCATCTGAAGTTACTGGGCCTAGATTCTTGCCTATAAACCCCCAGGCAAAATTAAAACAAGGGGAGCAATTGTCACTTGATAAAAAAAAAAAAAAAAACTCCACTAGGATTAAAATCTCAACAGTCACAAGCAGTAACAGAAGAACGCTGGTGGCTCACTGAACACACCCAGGGACTCTGACACTCTGGAAAAGAATTTAATGCATATCAGAGCATATGCAGGGAAATAGAGGCAAGAGATCTGTTAGGAGACAGAATTCTGAGATGGGGAGTTAGAGTAGAGGGGCTGGCACTTTTTATAACTCACTTAAGTAACTTGTCCATCCTCTTACTTGTAAACTGGCCAGGCAGTGATGCAGAAAACGATGAGGCATTTTTCTGTAAGTTCACAGACCAAAGAAATAAAGGTAGACAGTTTACCTCCTGGCTGGAACAAGCATAAAAACAGAAGTGTCCTTCAGGTCTTACGTCTCCTGAGTATGAGACATTTCTCAAAACTGTCTTGCTGCCTGTGGCTCCAGGCATGCACTAAAGCCCACAGGGAAGGGAGGAAGGTGAGGGTGGGGTTAGCACATGTCACCCACTCTCACTCAGCCTTCCACACCTGTAGCCTAGGGTTTATATTTGTCAGAATAGCGCATGCAGGGAGTGATCTGTTCCCTTACTGGCGCTGTGCTAGACTGGACCTCTGCCTGGTCAAATATATACTGTAGCTTTGTTCTTATACTTGAGGAATAATAGTTGTTCTATGCCTCTTAACCTTGAGTTTAGACTAATGGGCCTGATTTCAACAATGAGCTTTCATGAAGATAGCCTTAGCAGAGATGTTTGTAAGCTAGAGTGACAGCCCTGGCTACCACCTACATTAGTGACTATGCAGATGAATTTACAAAGCAGCAGAGTGGGGAAATATAGTTCTCCCCAGTAAAACTCCCCTGAGGTAGCTGACAGTGGGGACCCAAAAGAGCAGACTGGGGAAGGAAGGTGGGGGATACCAGAGACCTGCTGAGTCCTGTCTATGTCACGTGGGGACTGCATCTAATGGAAGTCTAGATTGAGAGACTTGTCTGTCTGCAAAGGAGATAGTTAGACTTAACCCAGAACTAATGAACAAAATTTCTGGGAAATACCCACTAATGAGACCAGGAAATAGAGTTTGTCAGAATTATAAAGATTTTACGAGGTATAGAAAGCATTTAGAGAGGCAGAGAGCAAGAGATGGAGATCTTGCCGAGATCTGGGGTAAAGGAAAAACTCACTGAGGCATGGAGGGTGGGATTTCCGGTGGACTTCCAGGTTTTGACTGATAGGTGAAGTGCGCAGGCGCGCTGCAGGGGCCTGGCGGCGGGGTTAGGACATGGCAGCCAGAAATGGAATAAAAAAAAATGGACTTCTGGAACCTTCTACAGTAGAAAAATTTCAGGATAATGGGCAGGGGCCAGACAGGGTGGGGCTTTGTGATGGACAGGCAGCAGTTTGGGGCCCCGTGCACCTGCTGGAGACACAGATGGAGGCCCTGGGGGCCCCGTGCACCTACTGGAGACCTGGATGGAGCCCCTAGAGACCCGGATGGAGCCTCTGGGAGTCTCAGATGGAGCACTGGAGACCTGGATGGAGCCCCTAGAGACCCAGATGGAGCCCTGGTGCCTTTATTTTTAATTATTTTTATTTATTTCAATTCGATGAATGCACTTAAGGGGCCGACAGCTCATCTTGGCAAGAATTAAGTCAAAATCAATGGCAAAAAAAGAAATCTGGATTTTGTGTCTCATCCTACAATTCTGAGCCCACCTAGGGGAATTTTGGGAGCTGCGGTGTTTTTCCGTCACGTGGAACATTGTAGTACTTTCTAAACAAGGCTGCGGGGGCTTCCTTGGCTCCCTCTCCAGGGTCTTCAGGCGCTTGGAGGTTCTAGAAGGGGAAAAATGGGCAGCAAAGCATCATGAGAGTCCTAGAAAAGTTTTAGAAAGTTCCAGAAATATTTATAGAAAGTTCCAGAAACTTCTAAAAAGGTCCAGGATCTCTAGAAAATACTCAGGAACTCTTTTTCTAGAAAATTCCAGAAAGTCATAGAAAATTCCAGAAAATTCTGTAAAGTTCCAGAGAATTCTAGAAGGCCTAAAAGTGCTAGGAAGTTCCAGGAAGTTCTAGAAAGCACCCAAAGATTTTTCTGGAAAAATCCCAGAAAGTTCTAGAAAGTTCCACAAAGTTTGAATCTCAGAACATTCTATGTAGTTCCAGAGAATTCTAGAAATTCCCCAAGAAAGTTCTAGGAAGTTCCAGAGAACTCTAAAATGTTATAGGAAGTTTCAGAAAGTTCTAGGAAATTCCAAAAAATTTCAGAAAGGTCTAGAAAGTTCCAGATTCAGAAGGTTCTAGAAATTTCTAGAAAGTCCAGGAAACTCTAGAAATCGTCCAAGAAGCTCCTTCTAGAAAATTCCAGAAAGTTCTAGAAGGTTTCAGGAAGTTACAGAAAGGGCAGCATTTCACCCATAGGACAACTCACGGCTCCTCCGGAAGCAGCTCCGGGCCCGGGGTGACCGGAAGTAGGAGACCCCAGCCCCCAGCAGGGCCAGCAGCACCAGGGACGCCACGGGGGTCAGCACTCGGGCTACTGTGCTCCCTGGGGGAGGGGGACGGTCAGTCAGAGACCCCTGGGGAGACCAGGATAGAGCCCTGCCCTCCTCCTCCCCCCACCACTGGGGCCAGGGACTGGTCCTGTGAGTGTGGTAGAAGCTTCCAGAAGGCAGCAGCCTTACCTTGGGGGTCGGCGAGGGCGGGATTTCCGTCAGGGCGTGGGTACTGATCTGTGGGGAGGGGACGAGGTTAGGGCCATGGGCAAAAAGTAACTCCATCCGGGTCCCCAGCAGGTGCACAGGGGCCCTGAGTCTGCACCAGGAGCTCCATCCGGGTCTCCAGCAGGTGCACAGGGACCCCCAGGGCTCCATCCTGGTCTCCAGTAGGTGCACAGGACCCCTGGGGGCTCCATCCGGGTCTCCCAGGGGCTCCATCTGGGTCTCCAGAGGTTCCATCCGGGTCCCCAGGGCTTCATCTGGGTCTCCCAGGGCTCCATCCAGGTCTCCCAGAAGCTCCATCCCAGTCCCCAGCAGGTGCACGGGGCTCCCTGGTGCTCCATCCGGGTCCCCAGCAGGCGCACGGGGCCCCCAGGAGCTCCATCCGGGTCCCCAGCAGGTGCAAGGAGGCCCCAGGAGCTACATCCAGGTTCCCAGCAGACGCCCCGCCCCCTTCACCACAGGAATTCTGGAGCCTCACCTGGGCCGGGGTCCACATGTCCGGGTGGGAGGAGGGGACCTGGGTGTGCGGAGACAAAATTCGATTGCATTCCGAGGTCAGAGGGCACAGGAGAAGAAAAATGGGCAGAGAATTGTGGGTAAGGCACTCGAGTTGTTACTCACCTGGGCTCGGACTTGCGCTGGGCTCTAGGGGTGGAAAAAAGACACAAGGGCCATGAGGAGTGACTGACAGCTGTCACTCAGGCCCTGATGGCAAGAAGGGGCAAAGCCAGGGCTCCACTTCCAGTACAAAGCCTACTGGAGGGGTGCCCGCGTTTTATAACCTTCTCAGCTCCCTCCCCCCAGCTCCAGCCAGGTCATGTGGGGTCCGTGGGGAGTCACGTGACCGGAGCACTCACCTGCGGGGTCCAGGGCATCGGCCAGATCGAAGTCGGCTTGGCCTAGGGGGAGGGGAAGGGAGCAGAGTCAGGACCCATGCACCTGCTGGGACCCAGATGGAGCCCTGGGAGACCCGGATGGAGCCCTGTGCACCCGGATGGAGCTCCTGGGAGACCTGGAGTCCTGGGGACCCGGATGGAGCTGTGGGAGACCCAGAGGGTGCCCCTGAGAGACATGGATGGATCCCTGGAGCCCCGGATCCGGGTCTCCCAGAGGCTCCTTCCAGGTCTCCAGCAGGTGCACAGGGACCCCAGGAGCTCCATCCGGGTCTCCCCGGGCTCCATCCGGGTCCTCAGGGCTCCATCTGAGTTCCCCAGGGGCTCCATCCGGGTCTCCAGGGGCTCCATCCGGGTCCCCAGCAGGTGCACAAGTCCCCAAGGAGCTCTACCCGGGTCTTCAGCAGGGGCACAGGTCCCCCAGGAGCCCCATCTGGGTCCGCGGGGGCTCCATCCGGGTCCCCCGGGCGCTCCATCCATGGCTCCAGGTCTCCATCCAGGTCCCCAGGGCTCCTTCCGGGTCTCTCTGCTGGAGCCCCGCCCCCACTGACCCCCGTCTCACCTCGCGGGCCGGGCAGCAGACACAGCAGCACCAGGCACAGGAGACCCCAGCGGCTCGGCATCGCGCGCCCGGGCCTTGGCTAAGGTCCTGGAACGTTCTGGAGCTCTGGGCGGGGGCGTGTGGAACCAGCTGGACCAGTCCAGCCGCTCTGCCCGCCCAGAACGCCCACAATGACCTAGATCCTGCTCTCTCAGGGCCTCCATCCGGGACTCCAGCAAGTGCACAGGGGCCTGAGCTGGCATTGCTGCTCCCACGGGACCCGGATGGAACTCCTGGGGGTGAACCGGAGCCCCGTGCACCTGCTGGAGACCCGGATGGAGCTCCTGGGGGCCCTGAGCATCTGCTGGGGACCGAGATGGAGCTTCTGTACAGGCTCAGGGCCCTGGGCACCTGCTGGAGACCCAGATGGAGCTCTAGGGACCCGGATGGAGCTCCTGGGGGCCCTGTGCACCTGCTAGAGACCCGGATGGAGCTTCTTGGAGAGCCGGATGGAGCCCCATGCACCTGATAGGAACTTGGATGGAGCCCCTTGAGACCCGAATGGAGCTCCTGGGGGCCCTGTGCACCTGCTGGAGACCCGGATGGAGCCCATAGTTACCCAGATGGAGTCCTTGAAGACCCGGATGGAGCTCCTGGGGGCCACGTGCACCTGCTAGAAATCCGGATGGAGCCCCTAGAGACACGGATAGAGCTCCTGGGGACCCGAGCACCTGATGGAGGCCCGGATGGAGCCCCTGGAGATCCGGATGGAGCCCTGAGAGACCCGGATGAGCCCTGATAGACCCGGGTGGAGCCTTAGGAGACCCAGCAGGAGCTCCTGGGGGCCCCCGTATACCTGCTGGAGACCCGGATGCAGCAACTAGGGACCTGGATACAGCTCCAAGGGACCTGGATGGAGCTCTGGGGAGCTCCACATGAACCCTGGGATACCCGGATAAAGCCCTTGGGGGCCCCGTGCACCTGCTGGAGACACGGATGGAGCCGGCGGTGCATGCCAGGAGTCGTTTTAGGAACTTTCTGGAATGTTCCAGCCCTGCCCGGCGCCCGTGGTCTCCGAGTTCCCGCCCCCTGTCCATGGCCTCACTCCAGGCTGTGCCCAGTCTCACCGACAGATTAATCTCTGGGAAGGAAGAACAGAATGCAGTTTTCAACCCACACCCTAACAGGCCATTGGGATCTGGTGTCCAGTCAGGGAGTCCTTGAAAAACACCAGAGAGTGGCCCTGGCTTGAGTTTCAAGGTTACTACAAACCTTTCTCCCAGTCCCGTATGTTGGGCCAATCCCCATGAAAGGAAGCTGAGTTGGGCCAGATCAACATTCCCAGAGCTGCGACGAGAAGCAAGAAGAGTGAAGCCTCTGGCTTTGCAGCTCGTGAGAACTCTAAAAGGGCAGGGGACTTGCTCCTGCTAGAAACTGCATTTCTCAGCCCAACACCTTTCTGGCAGTGGGAGCCTGGTGCCCAGCCAGGAGACCTTCTGAAAACGCTAGAGTGTAGCCCCAGCCAGAATCCATCAGTTGTCTCTAGGCCTTCTTCTAGTCCCATGCGAAGGGCCAATGCACGCAAGTGGGCGGGAAGATATTAGGACAGAGTCCCAGCTCCAGAAGGTTGATCTGGCCTTAGTCAGCAAGCCTCGCCCCTGAGACCTAAGACCGGCAGCCGTGCCAATTGCTTTTAACTGGCTGACACAGACCCAGCATTTTGAGAAAAATGAGAGTTACTATGAAGGAGAGAAAGGCTCTCTGAAAAAAAGCAACAGCAGTCGCGTACTCACCAATCTGGCAGGATGATCCGAAGTTGGATCCTCATCGCGTAGGAGTTGCAATCCGAGTCACGTTGGAGTTGGTATCCAAGTCATGTTGGAGTTACTATCCAAGTCATGTTGGAGTTGCTATCCAAGTCATGGCATCAAAAAATACTACAAGAATATGGCGGCAGATTTGTTACCTCGGTTATTTGTCTCACATGGAAGAAGAATTTCCAAGTGGACAGCAAAGAGATTTAAAAGTATTTATTAGAATGAAGGACCTCCAGCCAAAGCAGTGTGGAAGGGGGCTTCCAAGAGAGGAAAACCCTGAACTATAATTTTCTATACTTCAGATTTAATATTCGTTCTCTCTTTTCTCTCTGCCGTCTTTCCTCTGCTCTCCATCCTCACCTCTCACTGTCAGTTATCTCCCAGGGGTGACCCTGAGCTAGAAATAAAATGTTCATTTTATACTTGATATCCTCAGTTTTCACCAAGTGGTTCTTTTTTTAAATATACATAAATGTAAATACAGAAATATAGATGTCAATATTCAAAAGGCTTGTTTGTTTAAAATATTGCATTTGTAGCCATGAAAATGACTTAGGTTAATGTGTTTTAAATTATTTGTTGGTATGTATGTGTGTGGGGGGAGGTAAGTCTTATTTAAAGAATTGTTAACCTTTTTAAAATGAGAGAGAGAGAGAGAGAGGCCAGCGTTGTGGCACAGTGGGTTAAGCCACTGTCTGCAGTGCCAGCATCTATATGGGTTCCAGTTCAAATCCAGCGGTGCCATTTCCCATCCAGCTCTCTGTTAACGAGCCTGAGAAAACAGTGGAGATGGCCTAAGTGCTTGGGTCCCTGCACTCAGGTGAGACCAGGATGAAACTACTGGCTCCTGGCTTCATTCTGGCCCAGTGTTGGTTGTTGTGGCCAGAGAGTGAATCAGCAGGTGGAAGACTTTTCTCTCTGCTGCTGCTGCTGCTTCTTTGTCTCTGTAACTCTGCATTTCATATAAATAAATAAATCTTAAAAAGAGAAGTGGAGTGAGCATTGTGGCACAACAGCTTAAGCTGCTACTTCGGACATCCACATCCTATATCAGATTACCAGTTCTAGTCCTGACCCCACCCTTTCTGATCTAGCTTCCTCCTAGTGTATTCTGCAAGGCAGCAGATGATGGCTCAAGTGCTTGGACCCCTGTCACCCACGTGGAGGGACTGGGTAGAGTTCTTGGTTCCTGGCTTTGGCTGGGAAAGATCTGCCTGTTGTGGGTATTTGGGGAATGGACCAGTGGGTGGAGAATCTCTCTCTCTCTCTCTCTATTTCTCTCTCTCTCTCTCTCTGCTTTTCAAGTAAATGAAAAAGCTTTTTCAAAAAAAGCTCAAGAAGTGCTGTTTAATTTGGTAAAGAAGGAGTTAGGTTGAACATTTTTAATTCATCTTGTCTTTTTCACAAATAAAACCATTAAAAATTTCAAAGTTACTTTTTACTACTTTTTTTCTATGACCCCTGATTGATACGTGGGAGTTGGATCAGCTATCTTCAGTAGGAAAATGCTTCTTAAATCTAATTTACGTAACTTTCAAGATGAGAGCTCCATGTGGCTTAACTAAGGGATTGAAGGAGCCTAGAGAACATCACTCACACTGTACTTCCTTAAATTCTCCTCCATGATCCCATCACATGTTCAATGGTTGGCTTGCATGGGCTGTCCTGATACTCCTATAAGGGAATATTGTCAAGAATGCAGAAATGGTGGGAATTGGGTTCTGACACTTAAAGAAACTGTTTACTAAGCTCTTCTCTGAGTATTGTTCCTAACATTAGAGAATGAGGAAGGGTGCTGAATTCCTAGGCTCCATTACCTTGAAAAGAAGGGTGACTGGGGAAAGTCTTAGTTGTATTCCTTTTTCAAGAAACAATGGTCACTTCTTTGCAAATCTTTGTAATTTTCACAGCATCTCCACACACATTATCCAGATGGACCCTCACCATTTTGTGAAGATAGAGAAACTCAACACATTTGGGTCACACAGGAAATAAATGGTCAAGCCAAAACTAAAATGTCCTTATTTCAGTAGTCTTTCCTATGATTCATGTTGATTCTTTAAGTAATAATTAAGCCGCATGGGCAAGGATTGCATACACTTTCACAGGAAAGAAAATCCAAAGCTGTTCTAAAACTCTCTTTGGCACATCCATGAATTCTCTTCATGGGCAAATTCCTTTTTAAGTTCCTTGAGTTCTGCAACTAGTACCTGAAGTTTCTACTGTAACTCTTAGCCTCATGTACAAAAAAAATTATTCTCTAAAAATGGTAGATGCTCAAAACCTGAAATCTGACTATAATCAAAATAATTTTGGTTTTGTTATCTAGGCAAAGATAAGGGAAATGCTCTGTGTAGGATCTGAGTTATCTGCCCTTGCATCTGATGGCTTCTAACATCATTCTGGTTTGATTAAATGCCTTTTAAGTGGTCAACTTCCTTTGAAGTTGACCCTCATTATAGACATGAAATCAAGTATAGCCACCACCAAAAATTCAACATAACAGTGTCCCTTTAAATGCAAATAGTCTATAAGGATGGTGTGCTCATGCCTCTTCTAGTGTGACTCCTGCCCTAATCACACCAATCCATTTTTGTGGCTACAATGCAGTAGACCATTTTACATGTGAGCTCCAAATAATCCTCAGAGCTACTTGCTCTCATGTACCAGCCAAGGAGAGCCTGATATTTGCCAGGGATGTATTAGTACTGTGCCTGCCTTTGGGGTTCATCGCACTCTCCTGTTCTGTACTGCTATGGCTATTCTGAAAATCCACTCTGTAAAGACCAGACAATACCCTTTCTAACTTTGGCTCCCACTTGACTGTGGTCATCATTTGCTACATGATAACAATCTTCATGTATATGTGCCTACACTCTCATTCTTCCCAGAATAAGCACAAGATCAATCTAGTGATGTACGAAGCAGTAATACCCATGCAGAACCCCTCATTTACACTCTAAGGAAATAGGATGTGAAAGACGCCTTCATGAAGGTGATCAAAGAGACAACACAAGTCTGAAGACCTTTCGTGCCTGGATAAGCATCCTTTTCAGAGAGTCACTAGTTGTCTGGTCTGTCTGAATTCTCCACAAAGCAGAATTGGATTAAATGGAGTTCAGTCATTTTCAAAAGGCATTTTCCATGATAGTTTTATCTTTTTTTTTAAAAAAAATATTTATTTGGGGAAAGGGGAGGGTTGCGGGTGGGAGGGACGTTATGGGGGGCAAGCCATTGTAATTCATAAGCTGTACTTTGGAAATTTATATTCATTAAATAAAAGTTTAAAAATATATTTATTTGAAAACCAGAGTTACAGAGAAGAAGAGGCAGAGTGGAAGAGAGAGAGAGAGA